AAGCTGGGCCAGAGCTAAGCCAGGGCTAACACCAAGAACCAGGAACACAATCCAGGTTTCCCAAGAAGGAGCAGGAATCCAGCCACTTGAGGCATCACCACTGCCTCCCAGGATCTGTATGCAAGAGAAGCTAGAGTCAGGAGCCAGAGCCAGGGATTTAACCCAGGTACCCTAATGTAGAATGCAAGTAATTGGCTAAAAGCCCACTCTATTACATCCTGTTTTTGGTATTCAGTACTATCAACATGTTTTCACTTTTTCATTTCTATGCTGCCAATCTTTTATTTGTATTAAATTCATCCATAATTCCATTTAAAGGCCATTTTATGCTTTAAATGTTGCTTTGTATATTTTCCATACTATTTTATATGCTGTTTTAAATTTTAACATTTCAACTACATAATTTTTATTCTATTTTAAATTATTTTACTTTAAACTTCTCTATGTCTTTTGTTTGCTCTATCTTACTCTTAATTATCTTACTGATGTTTTCCTTTCCCCTCCAGGAGCTACTTTACTTGCTTGTTTGTTTTGTATTTTGTGGACTGAGGAGTGTTGTCCAGCCAGAATTATGCAGGCATAAGTAGAGATACCTTACCGCTATCACGGAAAGCTGCAAGTTTTTTCAAGACTGGCCTTTCCCAGTTTCCCAATATGGGTCTTTCTAGGAATATCCAGAAATCCTAATAGTAACTATCTCTGTAGTACTGTTTTCTCCATACAAGAGTACATGATGAATTTGCTGGAACAGGGATGCTGTTTCTGAATATTTCACATTTCTGTGTCTAACATTTACATAAAGAGCACCATATTTTAAAAATTGTGGAGGCTACTATTGTAACTCTTTGATTTAGGGCACAGCAGCAGCCATATTTTGGTAATTAATCACATGCACTTTGAGCCAGATAGTTTGGGCTCAAACTCCAGCTCAACAGCCTCTGTACCCATTGCATGATCTTACAGCAGATTCTTGGGCAAGCTCAGCCTGTTTCCTCATTATTAAAATGAAGCAGTACCTGCTATGGTTTGAGCAGAAGTTGGTTTCCCATGACTCATGTAGACATTTGAATCCCAAAGTTTTATGTTGTGCTAATGGTTAATGTTGATTTAGATGTGGAAACTGTGAATTGATTTGGGAGTTTGGCATTGGGTTCTTGCCCTTAGGAGTAGTTCCCGCAAGAGGGTTGCTTATATGAACCCACTGTGCTTCCTGTCTCTGCTTCCTGACTTGGGATGTGATTTTCCCTCTGCCATACTCCAGCCATATCACTAATGGGGCCACTCAAATTGGACTGTGAAACTCCAAAGCCACAGGCTATTAAAAAAACCTTCATTCTCCCTAAGTAATTCCTCTCAGGTGTAAATCTGACTAAAACTTCATCTATCTCATAAATATTCTTAAAGATTTATTTTGTTTATTTGAAGCGGAGTTACAGAGAGAGGCAGAGAGAGAGAGACAGAGAGAGAGAGACAGAGAGAGAGAGAGATCTTCCATCTGCTGGTTCACTCCCGAAATGGCTGTAATGGCCAGAGCTGAGTCTATCCAAAGCCAGGAGCCAGGAGCTTCTTCTGGATCTCCCATATAAGTGCAGCGCCCCAAGGACTTGGGCCTTCTGCTGCTGCTTTCCCAGGCATTTTAGCAAGGAGCTGAATTGGAAGTGGAGCATCCAGAACTCTAGCCAGTACCCATATGGGATGCTGGTGCTGCAGACCGGGGTTTTAACCCACTGCACCACAGCACTGGAACTCTTATAAATTTGTAATGAGGTTTTCATAAATTTTCAAACATAAGTTGGTGCCTATCCAGTCTGGGAAACTTCCTAAGAGGAAGCAAAGTACGTACTCGGGAATTGAGATGGACTTTTACCTTCTTATATCTTATTAGACTTGAGCTAAAGAAAGAATAAGAGTTATGATAGTCTTTGGGTACTTAGTGAAGTGGAAAGTCTTAAAGCTATATTTGTGGTCAGCTTTATCACACAGAAAATACCTGGCCATGACCCCTGATTTTTGATGACTTCAGACCCAGCTAACTGCCTCTCTTTCCATTATTATCTTGCCATTCATCATTTTTCTGTAATTTCAGCAATTGCATTAATGATCCATATGTGACATATTGACTGCAAAACTGAATTCAGTTGTCTACATTACCTTGCATTCATGTTCTTTATGATGCAACTTTTCTACTCCTCCTATAAAGAAATGAAGTCTATTTCCACATGAGCTAGCCATGCTGCAGAACTGTCATTGCACAGTTCCAAACCTTGGCCTCTGGTGGCCTCTACCCTTCCTCTCTCTTCCAGCTACCATTGGAAGAAATTGAGTTGGAAACCAGACAACAGGGCACCACATGCAAGAGAAAGAAACAGTTCAAGCTGAGGTCAGTCAAGGCCAACAGCCCACAATTGGCTTAGCAGTCTAGTGCAGTCATGTAAGCAAACTCAGCTGCAGACTGGCCCAGGTCAGTACATTCACCCAGTCAACACAGAGAACTTGAGCAATAATCATTGATGTGCTGAGCCACTACATTTTATCAAAAACTAATTGTATAACATATGAGGAAAGGGTAAGGGGAAACAATGGACAATGAGCCACAGTAGCCAGAAGGAAATAGGGTGGACAACATAGAGGGATGACAAGATAGTTTAATAGATGTGAAAGCAAGAGCTGAAATTTTGCTGACTTCATCCAGAAAACTTTTTTTTTATACAGAACGTGTCATGGAAAATGTTGCTCAAATTTAGAGAAATTGTATCCCACTAGCAACATTTAAGATCAATATGCTTTAGTATTATTAACAGCAACCAAATCAGAATAGCATTTTGTAAAGTAATAATTTATATTCATAAATTTTCTAATTTGTAAATGTTTCCATATACCACATATATGTCATCTATAAGGGGCCTTTAAAAAGTTCATGGGAAATGCATATCATTTAATTCCATTTTTCAAGAACTTTTTGAAGCAAATTCATATAAGCATGTATGCACCATGACTTTATATAATTTTGAAAAGAATTGTACATCATTCATCTCACCTTCCCCTGGACAGGCACTTGCAGACTAAGAGTATAATAACCCTATCTCATTGTTTATTGTCAACAAATAGGAATCTTTCCTTACTCTGAAACACAAAATATCTGTGAATTATTTCTCACTGTAGCTTTAGTGGCAGAAATTTGGTTGGAAGTGACAAGGAAAATGATTTAGAGCTTTAAAAATGCACTTTTAATAATTAAACATATTCAAAGATAAAATAGGCTACTTTAAGCAAATGATCTGTCCATCACTGGAAGTATTCATAGAGGAACTTCACAGTATGTTTTAGAAGAATTTCTTGAATTTGAAAAAGGAAGTATTGATTAATACTTAAAATTCCCTTTTTTTTCAGAATGCTTTGATTTTATATCCTCACTGAAGTATGTGACATTTAAATGTTTATCTCCTATATTTTGAGCTTCTTGTGACACCCTGGTTTGCTATACCCTGAGAAGTTGCTGCAACACCTAATATGGTGCAAGGAAGTTCATTATGGGGTGGTAGGAGATATACAGAGGAAATCAAGTATTGAAGGAGTTGAAATCAGAGGCATTATATTATTACCAGCTGGCACCCTTCAGTAATCACCCCCAAATCATCCTTCCAGGCAGATTAAAAAGCACCCCTAATAACAGTAGTAGAAGTTATCAGTTACATACTACGAGGTGACACGTGTCATCCTCAAGGAACACTGCAAAGCACTTTCCCAACACACGAGGGCTTGTCAAAAAGTTAATGAAAAATGCATATATAAGGCCAACACTGTGGCACAGTGGGTTAAGCCGGAGTCTGCTGTGCAGGCAACCCATATAGACACTGGTTAGAGTCCTGGCTACTCTACTTCCAATCTAGCTCCCTGCTATTCCTGGGAAAGCAGCAGCAGATGACCCAAATCCTTGGGCCTCTGCACCTGGATGAAGCCCCTGGCTCCTGACTTCTGCCTGGCCCAGCTCTGGCCGTTGCAGCCATTCGGGGAGTGAATCAGTAGATGGAAGAACTCTCTCTGTCTATCTTTGTCTCTCTGTAACTCTGCTTTTCAAATAAATAAATAAATATTTTTAAAAAATGCATATTATGAAAGTCAATGAATGGATTCCAAAAATATTTCTTGCCAAAGCAAACATCTTTTAACTCTACATTTCATGAACGTTTTGAAGTATCCTTGTTTAGCTCCTGCAGAATATTAGTAGGTTCTGTTGTCCAAGGATTTCTGGGTTAGAGCAAGCTAACCAGATAGTCAAGATTTTACTGACTTTTATTTTTAATAGCAAGTATCAATTTTCAAGGGAAAAAAGGTAAAAAAATTCCCAACTTACTTGACCAAAGAAACCTTTTTACATAAATTACCTTTTAAAGTTTACATTTTAATAAAATTATGTTAATGTATTTCTGTCAATATTTTCTTTGTTTTATTTTTTTTTATTTTTGGACAGGCAGAGTGGACAGTGAGAGAGAGACAGAGAGAAATGTCTTCCTTTTCCTTTGCTTCACCCCCCAATTGCTGCTGTGGCTGGCTCTCTGCAGCTCACACACCATGCTGATCCGAAGCCAGGAGCCAGGTGCTTCTCCTGGTCTCCCATGCGGGTGCAGGGCCCAAGGACTTCAGCCATGCTCCACTGCACTCCCAGGCCGCAGCAGAGAGCTGGACTGGAAGAGGAGCAACCGGACAGAATCCAGCCCCCGACTGGGACTAGAACCCCATCTACCGGTTCCGCAGGTGGAGGATTAGCTTATTGAGTTTGTCAATATTTTCTAATCAATATGCTTCAATCCCATTAACTAATTGTATACAGGTAATAAGTATGATAGCCATAATTGCAAATCTGAAGAATATTCTTAATTCCACTTGAATTCCAACATAACATTTAGCTGTTCTTCTTGTTAAACAATCATTATATATGCATCCAATTTAAATGCTTTTGTACTCACTTCCTTGTTGGTGAACAAAGTTAACATTCTTACTTTTGCTTTTCAATGTGGAGTTCCTCCTCCTGAGCCCCACACAAGTCCTCTTTAAGTCTGATGATTTGGTGACAAGATAAAGATGGAGCAACATAAGTTCTGTCAATTTGCAGATCATCAAAGCATGGCTTTCTGAAGGCATATGAGTCATCACAGCAGTGACCCACTGCAGCGTTGATAGGCTCAGCCGCATGTCGTCTGCACAATGCTCCAAGAATTAGCTTTGCCTTTCCCAGAAGAAAATTTAAAAAGAGACATAAGATCAATGGTCATTAATTTTTTTCTTAAATAAACTAACATTATATTTAAGTATTCTAAAGTTTCTTCTAGTTCTACCTGAATTTCACTACTTGGGGAAACACAAAACTATGGGGTACAGCCTGGTTCCCAGCCTCTCCTACTTCTTCCTATCATATTCAAGATGAGCTCATTTGGGCTTCATCCTTAGGTTCCTGTCCAGTCCAATTTATAGACCAGTGTGGATTTAAGGCAAGAGTTTCCTATGCTCCACCAAATAAAGCCTCAAGTCAACACTATCGCTAACTTGACTCTGATGTAAAACTGATGATGACTGAAGTTCTTAAGAAGCTCAAATCCAATTTTGTTTCTACTTTTACCCCTAGACATTTGCAAACAACCACAGAACTTAGAACATGATAGATACTATATGAATATTTGTGTAATTAATAATAAAATTATTAATGGAAAAAATCTTTAGATTCTATTTCAATTATTTCCTTCTTCTTCCCCTTTTGAAATTGTCACCTTGCATTGCTCACAACTTAGTGTTCAAGACACTAGTAGTTATCCTAATGCTATCTGCAAACCTGCCTCTGTGCCCCCATTTTCATAAGGACAACCCAATTTCTCTATCACTTATTTGGCTGAGGGTGAAGTAACTGAAACCAGCTCTAACAACATTTAATGTTTGGTTTTAGAAGTAATGAAAAAGATCACCCAAAAACAAAGTTTTAAGGATACACAAGTTTAATCAAACAGTCCCCCCCGCCCAAAAGGCATGCCTAGATAATAAAAATTAATAAAAAGGAAGGCAGGGCTAGATACTTTTTAAATATGAGACCCAAGCAATTAGTTTCATCAAAATAAAGAACAAGTAGATCATTCATATCTTGGATACGATCTACTAAAAACATTCAGCAGAGAAAGCTGTCACCATATAAGAATCCAATAATGTTAAAATCATGCTCCTGGAGAGGAATCTGGATACTGGATCTCAGAGACTTGAGTATCTTGGTTCCTGGAGTGTTATTCTCCATTATGAGGAAAGAATAATATATTGTGTTTTCACTATAACCTGAAGATCAAACCCTCAAGATCAAACCTGATCTGCTTTTGACCCCATTTGCACTAATATCCACATCCTAATTCAGTCTCCCAAATATTTTGATTCAGGAAAAAAACATACAGACCTAATTATTATACCCAATTATCCTTCCTATTGGAAAGATATTGGTCACTGTAAATGAACAGATTTGTGAATTTAGTATCTGTAAATTTGATTAGGATGAGTTAGTCTAAAATCAACATTACCTTTGGAGTTGCTGGCAAAATCACTTTTGTTGACTTTAAAATCTAAATAGATCCTGGGATATGATCCAGAGAAAGACCTTGGGAATCTGACACCCACAATGTTAGAAGGGAAAACCTTACCAGCTGCTGATCAAAGACAATTGACGTGAGCTGACAAGAAAGAATTTCTCCTGAAGACAGAAATATCGGGCTTTGTTGACTATTACTAGATGTGTTCACAGAAGTGACTTCGATGGCTGAGGATTAAAGATTAGAACTTTCAAGACTAGGCAAATCAAACCTCAGATGTGCTTACCGAATCCTCAACGCAGAGGAACTGCTGCACGCCGCTCAGCAGGCAGCATCTGGTGGCAGCAGCCGCCATCTTCTTGGTGAACAGAACCACCTCTTGAGCAGACAGCTGTGGCGCTTTCTTGGTGTAAAGGACTATGAGCCTGAAAAGGTTGCTTCCTCTTACCATGGGCAACAGCTACCCACTTAAACATGGATTCTACAGTTTTTTCCAGTACCTGACAGTGTCTATGATTTAAGATGTGTAGTGGACAGTTCAGAATGCTTTCAGGACATATGACAATTAAAGATACAAGGCTTAACTCTTCCTTTTGAATATGATAAGGATCACCTTCCTTTCTCCTTCCTCAGTGTATTTTCTTTAGAAAACTTTGAATTGTAAACACTTCGTCCTGTCTTTGAAATGTATACAAGTTTTTTGGAAATTATATATATATATATATATATATATCTCCTGTCAGCTTTATGACCCAGAAATGTCTTCTTTAAGGACCAAAGAGCCATCTTTTTTTTTTTTTTTTTTTGACAGGCAGAGTGGACAGTGAGAGAGAGAGACAGAGAGAAAGGTCTTCCTTTTGCTATTGGTTCACCCTCCAATGGCCGCCGCTGCTGGCGCACCACGCTGATCCGATGGCAGGAGCCAGGTGCTTCTCCTGGTCTCCCATGGGGTGCAGGGCCCAAGTACTTGGGCCATCCTCCACTGCACTCCTGGGCCACAGCAGAGAGCTGGCCTGGAAGAGGAGCAACCGGGATAGAATCCGGCGCCCTGACTAGAACGAGCTCACTAGGCTAATCCTCTGCCTTGCGGCGCCGGCACACCGGGAGCCATCTTTTAAGAATGCAAACAAAGGAGATAGCTCCCCTATCTCCCAGGTTTTGAGGAGGGCAGCTCCCACTTTAGTTGGTGCTTTGCTCCAAGCTGCAAAACTACCTCCTCTCATGAAGATATAAGTTCCCCATGCTCCCTGACAAAGCCACTTAGCTAACACAGATGGTGACCCCAATTACTGAGTAAAGTTAGGATGAACTTAATGTGACAAATAGTACTGTCAAGCCCTCCCAATGGGGATTGGTTTTGTTTACACTGAAAACATAGATGTAATGAGTTGTATTTGCTGGACTGTATAGGGGGCTGAGGTCTTTGCCTGTCTTCAGTCTCCTGTTGTATGGCTTGTGGGGTGTAAACTAGTTCATCTCTCTACTATTCTTGTAGAGATGTTTTCTGTGTTGGGATAATAATATTTCCCCAACAATGCACCATGAATTGCATTGAGTCTCATCCCAGGACATTCAGGCAAGTGGCCCAGAGGGAAATAACATCTGAGGTGGGATCTAACAATGACTCTAAAAACCCACAATAAAGTAGGAAAGGAGCATTTGGGAAGTAATTGAATGTGACTGAGAGAGATAAGAAAGAAAGTTTTGTAACAAAATCAAATTTTCATTGTTCAAAACATAATGATGTTTCCTCCATAAAGAGAGTAATTGGCGGTGGGGGTGGGGGGAGGCTGACACTGTGGTGTAGCTGGTTGAGCCTCCGCCTGCAGTGCCGGCATCCCATATGGGTGCTGGTTCAAGTCCTGTCTGCTCCACTTCCAATCCAACTCTCTGCTATGGCCTGGGAAAGTAGCAGGAGATGGCCCAAGTCCTTGGGCCTGTGCACTCACATGGGAGACCTGGAAGAAGCTCCTAGCTCTTGGCTCCTGGCTTTGGATTGGCCCAGCTCCGGCCATTGTGGCCAATTGGGGAGTGAACCAGCATACAGAAGACTTCTCTCTCTCTCTCTGCCTCTCCTTCTCTCTCTGTATAACTCTGACTTTCAAATAAATAAATAAATCTTAAAAAAAAAAAAAAAGAAAGTAAGTATTAGAGGTGGACAAGAGGCAAAGTGAGGGGAAAAAGCAATCTGAACAATTTGAAGGTTGTTCCAGCAACCCGGTAAGAGCCTGAACTAGAAGGATGGTAGGAAGCCATAGATAGGCAGAGAGACCTTCAAGGGAATGACTAAAGAATCAAGCATTGAAGATTACCAAAAACTAGAATCAAGTACGGAACTAATAATAGAAATGGAGTTGGGGAAAGAGTTTACTTTCTACAACACCCAAGGGAACAGGCAACTTAGTCAAATGGTCCACAAAGTATAATCCATGGTCCATCAGAATCAACATTTATGGGAATTTATTAGAAATGCAAATTATCAGGCTTCATCCCAGAGTTATAGGATCAGAAACCCTCCAGGTGGGAATGTGTGTTTGAACAATTATTCCAGGTAATTGGGATGTAATATCAGGTTTGAGAACCACAAGTTCTCAAATAAACCTTATTCTGGTAATTACTAATGGAATTCACATATAAAAAAAAGTGATAAGCCAAAAATTCTCTGTAAATAAGCTATAATACCTTTTCTGGATCTATTATTTTGGACGTTTAACTTAAAGTCAGTATTATGGGACTCTATATCAAACTAAAGTTTTCCTCAACACTCTACTTCCAAATAGATTATTACAGTAAGATCTCAAAGATCACTAAAAATTACCCTTTGTTTTTTGACATCCTAATCCTCAAAATACAATGGTACTTACCAGGCTCTGCACACAAGGAGAGGTGTGTGTTCTCTCTGAAAAATGACTAAGGTATCTATCTCTACTCTTGGTGAAAATACTAAATTTGCGCTATAGATCTGACCTGGTACTGACAGAGAGATCCTGGCTTGGATCTCTGTCACAGCCTTGACTCAAAATCACGAAGTCCCAAACTCAGTGTTCAGATGTGAAGGTGAGGCCCCTGTGAGAAGGCAGCCGGGCAGTGCCCCAGCCATAGACATTGGCATCCCTAAACAAGCATCTGGGCAACTGGCTTGAAAAGCAATGTAGATGCACCCAAAGTTATGTACACATCTATCTAATCAAGACAAAGAGAGCTAGGTGATTTCTGAATTGACTCATTCTCTTAGCCTCTGAAGTTTTTAAGATAGGATATAAATACTTAGCTACTCTCAGAATCAGGATTTACCTAAATCTTTCTAAAGACACAAATCTGAACACCATTTTATAAACATACCTGTTGTGAAAGCTACTCTCTCCTAATTTCTTAAATAAATCACAGTGATTTTTTACATGGTCTCTGCTTTCACGTACCACTTTTTGGAACATTTCGTTCTGCAAAAAAAAAAAAAAAAAAAAGAGAGAGAGAGAGAGAGAATCAGTGTTTATCTACAGTTGCACCAATATATCTTGAGGTAAGATTGCAAAACCATCTTCTCTAATAGTTTAACATAACTATTTTCCTAAATCTAGGTTTATTTAATGAGTTTGAAAAATCACATTTTGCTCAAAGAGAAATTACCACGTACTTGGTGAAGAAGAAGTGGGACAGTAAGATTATATTACACTCCCCATGATATAAATTCATTTATGGGCTTAAATGGAATGTTTCATAAGCACAGGCAAGGCACTCATCTAGGCAGAAAGAACTTTAGTGATAGTTTATAGATCTAACTTTGACTGGCTAGCATGTATGTATATTGGACATTTTTGTCTTTTTTTTCTAATTTGAGAGGCAAAGAGACAGAGAGTAAAATAGATAGAGATAGAGAAATCTCACAGCCACTCATTCACTCCCCTTCCTGCAACGGCCAGAAGTGAGCCAGGCTGAAGCTTGGGCCTGGGACCTCAAACCAGGTCTCTCATGTGGATGACAGAAATCCAATTACTTGAACCATTATCACTGCCTCCCATTGCCTTCATTAGCAAGGAGCTGGAGTCAGGAGCCAGAGACGGACATCAAACCTAAGCATTCCAATATGGGACATGGGGTTATGACCTGGCATCTTAATTTTTAGGCTAAACATCTGTCCCAAGTTATTTTAATGATATATACATTTCACATAAATAGAACAGGTGTGATATAAGTGCAGAAACAGAAATGCAGATTAAGAAGTCATGGCTTAATAAAAACACCACTGGCCGTGAAAACAGGAATGTATTTCACAATGTATAGTGAAGTAAATCAAGTGGAATTTTCAAATATAGGAAAAATATAGGAAAATTCAGAGTTCTTGAACTGTGAAAATAAGATTCCAGTAGGAAGATTCTAGTGACTTTGCTTTGCTTTTTTCTAGGATCACTGGTTAACATCTTAACTAATCACACCTAGTCTCCTTTTTCCTAATAAGCATTGTTTGTTCTCCTGAAAATGGTATCAGATTTGCAAAACAGCCTGGATTTTACATTTAACCCTGTCCTTGCTCTCTATGTAACAAACAAGTCACCTGAACCTTCTCAAATTTGATAATCTGATCTTAAAAAATGTACTTTATAATTCCAGCATTATCTTTCTTACCAGGCTGTGGTGAGGATCAGATAGGCCACAGTTGTAGGTGTGCTTTGTAAACTTTAAACATCCATGCTTTTGGAAGATGTTATCATCAAAATGATTTTCGGGCCTAAATAGTGAGGCTCTGAGAGTGTGCTCAACTACAAGAGACTAAATCATCCTTATTTATCCTTCTCTTTGGAAACAGAAAGATGTTACATGTACCTGTGTGAGCCTATAAAGGAAAAGAGATGCTTTCACCCTCAATCTCTACTCTCCAACCCCCTCTCCAGGCCTCTAAGGGTATGGAAGCCATAGATTAGAATAACCAAAGCCAGAGCCGCCCTGGTTCAGGGTAACCTATGGATAACTTATCATTTGGAAAGAGGTTTGGTAGGCCATCAAATTTTTCACATCAAAGGCATGACAGGAGCTGCTAGCTGTGAATAGTAAGATGTGTCACATGAAAGAAGGATCCTTTTTAGACTTCTTAGCGAAACAGTAGGTCTTCCCACACCCTAATAGGCTGTGAGGTTGTTTTCATGCTATCTGCTACTATATGCCAAGCAACCATCTACATTCACTTTAAAGAGGAAATTGCAGAGTTTTCATGAAACACAGAACCTACAAGGCAGTGACTCATTCGGAATATTATGTGCCTTTTGGTTCAGAAGGAAATCATATTTCTTTTCTATTGCTTAAAATCAGCATGAACATGCAACATCATCTTATAAAAGTGTGGTGCCACTAACAACACCAGGACTTTCCCTATATTTGTAGTTATTTATTATAAGAACTGTTAAAAAATGAATTTACCCCATAGCTATAACACTCCAGAGGGTTTTCTAATTTACAACAGTTTCCCAATAAATTTTCATATACTGTATTCACTCTTAAAATCACTGGAACTGCCAACTCTGGATGTCTTCTTGAATATTCATAAAGAAACCTGTATCATATGAAACATATTAGAAGGTAAAGAGCAAAACTCGGAGACAGTGAGATTTGTTTTGAAAATCAACAATAACTACAGACTTTTAACTAAAGCATCTGGAAACTTTGGGAAGCTACATCTCAAAATGTACTGCCTACATTTTGAAATAAGGAGATAAAAGCGAGAAAATCACATAATTTATACAAACTAACACAGTAGTGAATGCCAGATCGAAAACTTGAACTTAAAATATCCTGACTAACTGACCACTTCTGGCTTTGAGACTCTGCTTCCTTTTACTAGAAATTAATTTCAGGTGTTTGAGTAGACATACATTTTTTCTAATGAACCTTGAAAGTTTGTTGTCTAAATATTACAATTGTTTTCTAGGGTGATACTAACCAGGTATAAAATCAGCATCTAAGTTTTCAAATGTGATCAGTCCATTCATAATCTATGCATTCTTCAAGGTCATAAGAAAGAAAAATGTGGACTGTAGAATATTTTCAAATCAATCATAGGACTATAGAAGGAACCCTTGAAGATATCTGATCTTACTGCCTCAGTTAACAGTTAGAACACAAAAACCTAGGGCAATCAAAAGACTTGACCCACATTCTACAGTATATTCACATCAAAACCAGGCCTGGAACTCAAGTCTCCCAATCCTAGACTCATGTGTTCATTTAGCACTCAAAAGACTCATTAAGATCTATACCTATTGATTTTTCAGTAGTAAATGTGAGTTTAAGAATTCATAATAAGTGAGTTCAGATAGCGCATTCACTTTTATCAACCAATATCCCATAAATTTGAGAAACATAGCGAAGATCATTCTACGAAGAATTTTGAGGAAAATTCAAGTTCTCATCTTTTGCTGGAATTATTTCAATCACACAATATTATCTCAATATTACATATTGAAATCAGTAAGTTTTTTTGCACAAATTAGTATGTGAGGATTCTTCAAAATAGTCATAGAAAAGTGAAATTAAAAGTTTATTTTATTACAAAACATTTTGAAATCCATACACAGATATTTTCATAACACCTATTTTCCATGAGCTATTTGAAGATCCTTCATACACTTCTGATGGCACACTAGGGCTGCCAACACCCCAATTTGTTAAGCGTTAAGTGCTACACCATGGGATTGATAGTAGATATTAAATTAATCACAACAGAGGAACTGACCAGGTATATACCAAGCTGAAGCTCTTGCTCATCTCTAAGTCCCCAAGGACAAAGCTTACAAACACCATTGTGTTTAAAAATTCATACACTAGTTGTCAATGTTTACAAATTAAGAGGTTTCTACTTATCTTCAAATGCAGGGACACAATCACCCAAAACCCCTATTCCATATTCCCATACAGCAACATGACTGACACTGAGCATTGGCTGCCAACATTGGAACGCACAGCCTCTCCTCCTGGCCACACTTCCTACCCAGCCACTCTGTTCCCTCACTGGCTGGCACCTGTCATTATTCAAGTGTGCAACCTCCCCCGAAGAGTTCATGAATACATATTCCACCACTACGACTTTACAGAAAGCGCTATTACTCTTGTAGAAAGTCCTCTTGCTTGTCAGTGAATTCTTTGCATACAAATTGGTCTTCTGTGAACCTGCTGAGTGGCAGGGGCAAAAGGTCAGGTTTGTCATCATTTTCTGAGATGATGATGCATTCCCCTCGGAATGGCACTGGCTGTTCACAGCACCGAGTGATCTTGCTGGATAGGATAGCCTGTTTAGAGCACGTATAGTCCATAAGCTGACTCTATAAAACAAGAAATGCAGCAGTTATTTTTGATGACTTCATTCTGATCTTTATTGTTATTAGCAGAAAATTGGAAGAAAAACTTGTCACTGTGTATTGCTTTATCCTTGGCAAGGTGAAAGACTGAAAAGGTTATTTTTAGTGACTCACTTTAAAAAGGGAAACTTTTCTACTTGACTTTTTTCACATGTCACAGACTCTTCTAACATCTTTTAAAGAACATAAGGGGAGAGCCACCATATTATTGTTGCCATGCTTAGCCAAACAAAATACAAATGATTTGTTTGTCTTTCCATTGTTGTTCTTATTTTGGGATCCTATTTTAGGAGGCATTTTTTTCTCTGAGCCACATCACAATTGGTTTATTTACTATATACACCATAAATTACTATTTCACTTGTATATTTACTTACAAACACAAATAATTGGGAATGGATGTGTGCATATGTATAAGGCAGTCTCTACATTTAAAGAACTCAATTCTTAGAACTGTACCTGTGATATTCATTCTCTTTATATTAATAAAAATTCAAAAGCATTAAAAAAGGAACTCAAAATCCAGTCATTTGCAACAAAATGGAGGAATCTGGAACACATCATGCTGAGTGAAATAAGCCAATCCCAAAGGGACAAATACCATATGTTCTCCCTGATCGGTGACGACTGACTGAACACCAAGAGGGAAACCTGTTGGAGTGAGGTGGACACTATGGGAAACGGTGGCTTGATCAGCATAGCCCTGACTGTTAATGAACAACTTAATACATTATCACTCTTAGTAGTTTTTTTATCTGTTCTACTTAATATGACTGGTTTAGTTCTGTAATTGATGCACAGTTATTCTTAAGTGTTGAAAATTAACTGAAATGTGATCCCTGTTGAACATGGGAGTGGGAATGGGAGAGGGAAGAGATGTATAATTTGGGACATGCTCAGGCTGACTTGCCCCAAGTGGTGGAGTTGGAAGCATACCAGGGGATTCCAATTCAATCCCATCGAGGTGGCATGTACCAATGCCATCTCACTGTTCCAGGTGATCAGTTTCAGTTCACAGTTGGTCATGGTGGAGGGACTGGGAGTCAAAGGGAGCACATAGACAAGTCTAGTACCTGCTAACGCTAACCAATGGAGTAAATAAAGGGGAGAGTGATCCAACATGGGAAGTGAGATACTCAGCAGACTCATAGAATGGCAGATGTCCTAAATAGCACTCTGGCCTCAGAATCAGCCCTAAAGCCATTCGGAGCTGGCTGAAAAGCTCATGAGAGTATTTCAGGCATGGAAAGCCAAGACACTCTGGCAAAAGATCTCTGCGAGTGAGATCCCAGTGGAAAGAACAGGTCATCAAAGAAGGAGGTACCTTTCTCTGAAGGGAGGAGAGAACCTCCACTTTGACTATGACCTTGTCTAAACAAGATAAGAGTCGGAGAACTCAGAGGGCTTCCATAGCCTTGGAAACTCATGACTGGAGCATAGGGAGATTACTGATGCCATAGACAGGAGTGTCAATTGGTAAAGTCAACAACAGGAGTCACTGTGCACTTACTCCTCGTGTAGGATCTCTATCCTTAATGTGCTGTACATTGAGATTTAATGCTATAACGAGTACTCAAACAATATATTTCACTTTGTGTTTCTATGGAGGTGCAAACTGTTGAAATCCTTACTTAATGCATAGTAAACTGATCCTCTGTAAAAAAAAAAAAAAAAAAAAAAAAGAAATTATCAATTCCCAACTTGACTCTCACTGGGATTAAACATGACAATAGGTCTGCTCTGATTTCATCATCATTTAAAAAAAAAAAAAAGGAACTCAAAATCTAGTCACAGAGTCAAATAATTAAACAAGGACAATCAGAATGCATTATAATAGAAGTTGTAAGGAAAATATACACATGGTGCTTTAGAAGAAAAAAAGAGAGATAAGCAATGCAGACTGGATAAGGATCACAGTGGAAGTCTTGAATGACTTGCGCCTGAAAGACAAATGGAAGTTGGCTTGAAAGAGGAAGAATATTCTACAATTATTCGTATTTATATATAAAGAATCTGAGAGGTAATAAATCATGGTATGTTTGGGAAACTGTATTAACATATTTGGATGTTACTGAGAAAATTGAGTTGATAACTGATGTGTTGTGAACCAAATCAGTGATTGGATAGATTTAAAAACTACTGAAATGTATAATGGAAAAGATTGTGGTAAATAATAATAAAGTTAGAAGCAAAGGGGAGTGATAAAAAGAATCTAGGGTGATATAGGAGACTGGGTTAGTACTAGCATAAGCCATGGAAATTGATATTCAGTAAAAAGAACAAACGAGCAAGGTGGCTCAAAATGGAAGCCAAAGTGTTCACTGTTGGAAAACAGAGTGTAGTATATAGATCAAATCATCTGCAAGGCATCCACCTGGAGGCTTCTTCTTTGTAGGCTGGGGTGTACTTGAAGGCTCTGGAAAGAAAAGGGTGAGGGCTAAATCTGAGAAGGATGAGTTGAAGCTACATTATGGGGCCAGCATGGGACCAAGGGAAAGCATGTGCCTAGGCTAAGCAACAAACATGGTCTCAGTCACTCAACTTCTTCTCTCTCGAGAAAGTCCTAATGGGGAGGAAAGGCACATCTCTTCCAGGCAGTAGTTGCAGGAATCAACAGGCAATTTGTCACCTCAGCTGGTGAGCTTCCAATATTGTCTTCAGTATTAAAATTGAGCCAGGGGTTCAAGATTGTTATAGGCAGCCTGGGAGATTTTTAAGGCTGAGATGCAGAAATGGAATAAACCACTTTCCACCAGAACTTGGTTAGGTGGCCCCACAACATCTCTGAACTATGGAAGAGGAAAGAGCAGGAATTCTTGCTGAATGACTAGCCATTTCTGAGAGTGTGCAAAATGAAAGAAAGGAAAAGGCCCAAGCAGATCTGTCAAGAACACCAATTTCGGGGGCCAGTGGTATGGCATAGTGGATCAAGCTGGCATCCCATATGAGTGCTGGTTCAAGTCCCAGCTGTTCCACTTCTGATCCAGCTCCCTGATAATGCACCTGGGAAAGCAGTGGAAGATGGCCCAAGTGCCCCTGCCACCCACATGGGAAACCTGGATGGAGTACTTTGCTCTGGACTTCGGTATAGAACAGCCCCAGCTCTTGCAGCCATTGGGGAATTGGACCAGCAGATAGAAAAATTCTCTCTCTCTCTCTCTCTCTCTACTGCCCTCCCTCTCTCTCCTGCTGTGTGTGTGTGTGTGCACATCTGTGTCTCTCCCTCTCTCTCAGTAACTCTACCTTTCAAATAATCATTTTTAAAAATATCAATTTTAAAGGCTAATAGAAGAAATGAAATTGATGAAATAAACTGTAACTACATAAATGTTCTGTTTTCTACCAGAACCTTTGTGGTCATCACTGGAAAACTAAGAGTGCAGTGGTTGAGATTTGAAGCTCTAAAGTCAGATCCTGGGTTTTAATCTTAACTTTGCTACTTTATAGCTCTGATTTCAGGCAGGTTACTTTGCTTCTTGTACCTCAATTTCCTAATCTACAAGATGGTAATTAAATAATACATCCTAAGAGTGTAGGAATTATGTGAATTAATACTTACTAAAGAAGTAAAAAAAAAAAAAAACAGAGCCTGTCACAGGGTAAATGCTGATAAAAGTGCTTATTGAAAAAACTGATCAAAAAAGAAAAAAGTAACAAATACTAAACTTGTACACTGTTAGTGGGGATTTAAATTAGTACTGCCACTGTGGAAAACAATATGGAGATTCTTTAAAAAACTAGAAACAAAACTGCCATATGATCCACAAATACCACTCCAGGGTATATACTCAACAGAAATGATGTTTTATATAAGAGGTGCCTGAGCCACCATATTTAACAATAGCCCAAGATACAGAATCAATCAAGGTGTCCATCACCAAATAAGCAAACAAAATGTGGTAAACTTACACAGTGGAATAATAGCCACAAAGAATGAAATGTTGTGATTTAAAGCAAAATGGATGAAACCAGAGGACATTATGTGAATCGAAATAAACCACAGACAGAATGACAAATATTATGTCCTTCTTCATATATGAAAGATAAAAAATTCAATTGGAACATAAAATAATGATTCCTAGAGACTAGGAGGGAGACAAATGATGGAGTGAGATTGGATAGTGAATAACATATCACAGTTGAACAGAATTAATGCCTAGAGTTACACAGCATGAGGGAGTGACTATGGTGCACAATAACTTATTATATATTTTCTAAGCAAGTAGAAGAGGAGAGCTCTACAGCTAAACTAATAAAGGAAATGTCAAAGAGAGGGAAATGTTGATTATCCCAACTTGATAAGTACACAGTGTATACATGTATTTAAATGTCACATTGTACCCCCATAAATATGTACAGTTATTGTTAAGTATAAACAATTTTAATGCTTTTTAAAGTATAATAAATAAAAACATTTGAAAGAGTTGAAATGTGTAGAGTGAGTGTTTTGCATACAAAAGGCATTTTTAAAAGCTAATACTGTAACAATTATTATACAATCTTAGAATGTTGGTCTTGAGGCTGGTGCCATGGCATAGCAGGTTAAGTCACCGCCTGTGATGCCTGCATTCCATATGGGCACTCATTCAAATCCCAGCTGCTATACTGCCAGTCCAACTCTCTGCTAATGGCCTGGGAAAAGCAGGAAAGATGGCCCAAGTACTTGCACCCTTGCAACCATGTGAGAGACCTAGAAGAAGCTCCTGGCTCCTGGCTTCAGCCTGGCCCAGCCCCCACTGTTGCAGCCATGTGGAAAGTGAACCAGAGGATGGAAGATTTTTCTCTCTTTGTCTCTCCCTCTCTCTTTCAAGTAAATAAACAAATCTTTAAAAAAATCAAGCTGTATTAATTTCTATCACTTAATATTAAAAATTAATATCCATTCTAAATATAACTTTGTGAGAAGATGTACTCTTACAAAGAACATGGTGTACTATGATGAACACCAACAAACATAAAAAGCTTCTAAGATATGCAATTCTATTGTATACAATGAATACTCTATTCCTGAGAGTATTGAAATACTCTAATCAAAAGAGAATTAAATCAACATAAAAATAAGAAATAATTATATTGTGTGAAATAAGTGATCAAGTGAAATAATTTTTGTTAACAGTGATGAAAAATGAATATAAATAAACTAAGCAAACAGAGTTAAAAGCAATTAACAAACCTAGGGAGAGAAATAATAAAATAAAAGCAGAAACCCAATAAGCAAGCACAAGAACATTGTATTGAAGAAGATCAATAATTTAAATAGCCTTTTTGCAGAGCAAATTAAATAAATACATGAGCAAAAAGAGGCATAATTACATGGTTGATGTTAATCAGACAGAACCATATGCACCTAAATGAGAACATGCCAAGGAAACAGATTTTTTTAGAAATGTGGCTATTACAAAACCGGACCAAAAACAAGTACAGTTAATTCTTCTTATTCATGATGGATGTAACACTCAATTAGTGACTAGTGAATCACTGCCCCTGAAGGTGATAATACAAGGTCCCACAAGCCTTTAGTCACTGCGTTTTTTTATCAGCCAATCAAGACACATTTTGTTTTATGTGGGTTTCTATTTAAAAACACATTATTTAATATATGCTATTCACTCACTAATGTGGAATTCATAAACCAACACCCCTATAACTCATGCATGAACAAAGCTTATCTAATACAGATTTTTTTTCTCCATAAGCACATCACAGCCTTCCTGTGCTTAGGAACACTAGGTAGTGCTTCATCGCTATGCTTTGGGGACACTTTAAATAGAAAAATCACCAATTAATAACACAAGAATGCAAACAAAGTCATTAAGTAATCCGTGAACAGGACACTTCTTTGCAGTCTAAATGCTGAAGCGGGAGGGCAGACCACAGTCCTGTTTGCCCTCAGCTGGGACTGCACATGTTCAGCAGCTCAGATTTTTCACTACTCTGAGCATGCACAAGTCTGCAAGTGACCACAAAGGTGCTGTGAGAACTGGTTAGGGGTTACAGATAAATTTGGGAAAACAGATGAATCCATAAGTATAGAATCCTTGACCACAGAGGACCCACTGGGAAAACATTGAAATTGATCCATAGCCAAAAAAAAAAAAATAGTAAAGCTAATATACCAGTTTTTATGATCATCCCAGTTTCAATTTCATGGACCAGTCCAAACTTTCACAAAAAAAGATGATCTGCATACTATTTGAGTTATTTCAGGTAATTCAAAGGAAAAAAATCTGATTCATTTTCAAGAAGTTAACATAAATGAAACCAACATTTGAAAAGTATCTGCCAAAAAAGAAAGCTATTGATCAATCTCATGTCTAGTCATAAATACAAAAATCTCAATATATATAAACATATTTCTCCAGTCTAGAGATACAGTAAAATGAGGTTGACTTGAGGAATATAAAAAGATGGCTATACTTTTTTAATTTTTTAATAAAATTCATGGGAGAGTAAGTCAATGGACATAAATCAGTTGATAATCCAAAAATGGCAATAGAACATTTACTAATTTAGAATCACCCTGGGGCTGGTGTGTGGCACAGTGGGTTAGGCTGCTGCTTGCAACACTGACTCCCATATAGTCCTGTTTCAAGTCCAGCTACACCAGCTCCTATATGAGTCCTGTTACAAGTTTGAGCTACTCAGCTTCCAGAAGGCTTCCTGCTAATGTGTCTGGGAAAGTACTGGAAGATGCCCCAATTACTTGGGACCCAGCAACCTATGTGGCGAATCCAAGATAAAGTTCCTGGCTCCTGGCTTCAGAATGACCCTGACCTGTTGTAACCATCTGGGAAGTAAAGCAGTAGGTGGAATATTTCTTTCTCTGTGTCTCTTTGATTCTTCCTCTCTTTATTCCAAATAATATATAAATAAATAATAATACTTCCAAAATATTTTAAATAATCTATCCTAATTAAAAGCAAAAGAGAATTTTCTAAAATAGAATCAAAACCCTCTTAACACATAAACAATATCTATATTAAGCCTGTTTCCATTATGGTCTGTATCAAGGCAGGACTTCCAGGACAACCTTGAGTTATTTAATATTGTTTGTGAACTCTCAACAACACAGCCGCATAGCTACAGATTTGGTTGGCATTCCTGCCACAGTCCAGACTAGAATGGGAGCAGTTCCAGGGATACTGCTTTGACACAGGTTTTGCTTATGTATTTTATGTTTTGTTTTATTAGGAGATTTATGTTTTGTTTTATTGGGATGAATTCTATCAGACCCCAAAGTTCAATCTGTATCCCCCCCCCCAAATTCACCTAGCTTTGACAAAGGCAAGTAAGATTCTAGAAGCCAACATTGAGTCCAAGTATGCAGGATAGTATTCCTGTCACACCAGCTGCATCTTCTGCTATAAAATAAAGTAATTCAAGGAAAAATTCCCAGTTGTATGTCTCCAGGACAGAATTGGCAGTGTCAGCTATACCTTCTTAAGCGATAAAGCTGAATGAGGCACTGACCCACACACAACAATCCCAATGCCTGGCAAAGAAAAACTGTGTTCTGACTGCAACTCTGCCCCAGCCAAGGAGAGATTCGAGGATTTAAGATTCTAAAGATTCCACTAACTGTTCTAGCCCATGATTTTCTACTTTAATTGCTATTGTTACCTACATCCTTTAATCTGTCATGTAATAAGACTAAAATGGTTGGGGTCAGGAGTCATTGGCCAAAGGAGACATGAGTCTCTCCATGAAATTATGTTATTGTCTTCTTTGTTTCTGTTTTTTTTTTTAACATGACAATTATTCAACTTCCAAATGTATATAATGAATAGCAATGTGACTTGTGATTTACTGAAGCCTTATGAATTTTTGTTGCTGATTCCCTTTTTCCCTCCTTCTCTGGACTTTTAAACTTCACATTTGAGGTGGGGCCAGAGAGTCCTGCACTGCCCCTGCCCCGGGCCTGTTGATGTTGCTTCTTCAGCCTGGCTTGCTTCCCCCTCCCACCTAGCTGATGTGTCCTAATGGTGCAGATCACAGCTCTAGGACCCGTGCAAGGCTGAAAGATGAATGAAACGTAGCCCTAATTTGGAGTGAAGTTAGAGACCAGCTCTAAAAGCTTAAAGAATAAAGGAATAAAGTGAAATAAGAAAGGAGAAGGGAGGGAAGGAGAGAGGTAGGAAAAATGATCACATGAGTTGGGAAAAGATAAGAGGGGAGACATCAGCCTACTTGTAATATTGTGAAATAAATGGTCATTACATTTTCGGAATCATTATTTACCCTGTTATCTTTACTAGTATTTGAGATTTACAAGCTTTTTAATGGCACTAGTCACTGTTAAGAAAAGAGAGGGTCTCACCCTGCCAAGTGCGCATGCTACTGTATTTCCTTCACAACAGATCTCATGCAGATTTTTGACATCCATGGTGAGTTTGGCAATTTCAGAAAAGTTAGCTTTAGGTTGTTTTTTAGTCAGCAGAACCAATTCCCTGAAAAGGAAAATAAGTACATTTTAAACAGTATTTTAGACTCAATGCTTTCTAAAATTAGTTCTAGTTCCCTGAGTAATGAAAACAATAGGAACACATCTGCAAATGTGGGGTGAAGAGCATGTACTACTGTCGCTCCCCCTCTTCATGGAGGAACGACACTAAACCCTGCCTAGGCTTCATATCCGAGTCACGGCACCATTATGTCGCTCCCCGTCTTCGTGGAGGAACGACACAGGACCCTGCGCTGCTCTTTTGTCTGCTCGGCCCTCCCCGGGTTTGCTGCTGGTTCTTCCCGGGTTGGCTACCGTCCCTTCCACCTCCGTGGAAGGGCGGTTCCCCCTGGCCACTTTCCCCACTTCCGCGGGGGAGCGGCACACCGCCGGCCGGCTCTCTCGGGGGCTGCACAGGTGTTCCTTCAGATAGATGTTCCCCGGTGCATGTTGTCTCTCTCCTCCTTTATAGTCCTCTTCCGCCAATCCCAACTCTGCTACCCACACGCCGAGTACGCTGCTCTCCTCCAATCAGGAGCAGGTCCTGCTGTTTATTGGTTGAACTGGAGGCAGCTGTGTAGAAGCTGTTTCCTCCTCTCCCAGCGCCATATTGTGGGAGAGCAGATGCATAGAATAAGTCTTAATTCCAGTAACAGTATAGTCCGAGTTGCTCCCCACATACTACAAATGTTTTCTATTTCTCCAAAGGTAGCACTCAGAACCACACGGAGACCTAAGTCACAAAAAGAACAATTCATGATAATTTTTATTGTTTAAATTATTACTGGAAGAAGCTGATTTGCTTTAGATAGGTGATGAAATGCAAGCTGACTAGACTTGGAAATTTATCTAACCTGAGATTCCTAGGTAAACCTCTTCATCATAAATACAGAAAGTATCAGAACGTAAGTCTTTCCTGCTTCTGTCAACAATTGAGCTACATCCCTGAAATTTTCTGCAAACAGAGACAGTGGTCCTTCTCTGCAAACAGAACTGAGCTTCTAGGCAGCCTAACATTGGCTTCAGTTGGGGTACAAGGTAGATGAAGAAAACTGCATGTCTTTAAGATCAACTTGGGCAGAAATGCAGTCCCAGCCAGGAAGGAGGTAGGCTGAGTAACTGCAAATGCTCCTCCACCCATGCCTCCAAAAACTCCATTCCCTTCCTTCTTTTACATGATGTTGGAGCCAAAGCCAATCTTCAGGAGAAAAGAATACATTTTGTCCTCCAGCCTTTATTATTGAAAGAGGTAAGGACCTGGCATCTCAAAACATGCAGAACTGGTATATTGATTATTTCGAGTAGAAATTCCTTGAAGAGCTGTAACTTCAGAGGGGGTCATTGGCCTGCCTTTTGCTACATGCAGCGAATCACAAAGATTCTTCACAATGGATCCCTTTAATATATCAAGGCCAGAAAACAGCTTTGATCACCAAAGATAATTGGGACTGCAATGAATCTAAATAAACAAGTTCTGCAAAGTAACCCTAATCTTCCACTTGCTACCTCTTCCCATATCTCTTATTGACATTCCCAGAATTTACTACTCATGTTCAGAGATCCATCTGTCCTGTCACTCTTTCACAAAGTTTAGGTTCTTTATCTGAAAAGTATAAAAATATCATGAACATTGTTTTGGACATTGTTTTGGACATGGTCATTGTTTTGAACTTCACTGTCCTATGAAGATTTCTATGTACATGTAAATTTAGTTAAGCTTTTATGTTTTTCTCTTTTTATCAGCCCTTGTATTAATTAGGTTTCCAGATTGAGCCAAAGGGCCCACATAAGAAGTAAGGGGGATTTGCGAGGCAGGGCAGTCTAGAGGATGTGGGAAAGTTCATAGTGCCTCCATCTCAATGTCCTGTGTCTGTGCACCTAAGAAGTTCTAAGGGATTTGAGCACATGGAAGAAATTGAGGCAGGAAATAAAAGGGGAAGTTGAAAATTGTGCAATGCCATCCACAGCTCTCTCCCTGCCCTATTTGGTTTTTGTTTGTATGTTTGCTTTGTTTTATATTTAACTTTTTTATTTCTATGAAGGGAACAGATTTCAAGTATTTCATTTATAGAGTTTTAAAAACATACTTATACTTCTCACCGTCCCTCCTTCGCTCCCATCCTCACTCCTCCTTCCTTGTTTTTCTTTCCATTTTTGCAATGGCATACTTTCAATTTACTTTGTAATTGCAAGCTTAAACCTCCACTAAATAAAGAATACAACATGTTGCACGTAAAAAAACTGTTCCTCAGAAGTAGAGACAAGGGCTATAAGCCTGAATCAAATCTCCAGATGTCATTTCACTCTTAAACAGTACATTTTTTGTACTCTATATATCAGTTATCACAAATCAGAGAAAACACAATATTTGTCCTTCTGGGTCTGGTTTACTTCACTGAGTATGACAGTCTCCAATTGCATCCACTTTGTTGTAGCAGACAGGATTTCATTCCTTTGTATGGCTGAGTAGTACTCCATCATGTATATATACCACACCACATTTTCTTTATCCAGTCTTCAGTTGAACATCTATGTTGATCCTGTATCTTAGCTATTGTGAATTGGGCTGCTATAAACATGGTGGTACAGCAAGTATGTGTAAAGAATCCAGGTTTATGTTGATAGACATGGTTAAATAAAGAATAAATGACTTTCAAACAGGCTTAGTCAAAAGGAATAACCCAACATCAACAAATCCACAAAATCTAAACAGGTAACTTACACTGCGTTTGCTACTGTGTGGTTGAATTTCGTCTTGATTTCACATAGATGATGATGCCTCAAAGACATTTCTTTAACATATTTTCTGATGGGTTCTAGCTGTAAATTAGAAAAGCAATCCATCAAAGAATATGGTAGTAATAGAAAGAGTTAATCACACCATTAGGAAAGGAGAGAAAAGTAAAAGTTATGTCCTTCCTCAGCATTACAGAGTCTTCAACTAAACCACTTCAAAAGAAGCCAAAATGCAAAACAGCACCCTGCTTTCCAGAGATCACTTCAAACATTTCAAATACAAGTGAGTACAAGAAAGTGAGCTAATGAAAGCCCAGAGAGCCATCACACTATATTTCAGTAAGTACAATTATTTTACAATTATATTTCGCTTTTATCCAAATTACTAACCCTGTCTCTTGGACATATCCCACGCTACTTATCTAAAATTTATATTCCAGTTTTGCAATATGTCAGTAATAATGAGTTCCTCCACACCCCAAATGTTCATATTCTTTATCCAGGGGTTTCTAGTTTTAAAATTCTATCATAAGAGTGGGAATAAGAGAGGGGGAGATGTACAGTTTGGCACATGCTCACTTGGACTTACCCCTAATGGTAGAGTTAGAAACATGCCAGGAGATTCCAAGTCAATCCCATCAAGGTGGCATGGACCAATGCCATCTCACTAGTCAAAGTGATCAATTTCAGTTCATAATTGATCATAATGATAGGACTAAGAGTCAAAGGGATCACACAAACAAGACTAGTGTCTGCTAATACTAACTGATAGAATTAAAAAGGAGAGAATGATCCAATATGGGATGCAGGATATATAGCAGACTCATAGAATGGCAGATGTCCTAAACAGCACTCTGGCCTCAGAATCAGCCCTTTAGGCATTCAGATCTGGCTGAAAAGCCCATGAGAGTTTCACAGGCATGCAAAGCCAAGACACTGTGGCAAAAAAAAAAAAAAATGACCTAAATGAAAGATCTCTGTGAGTAAAGATCCCAGCAGAAAGAACAGGCCATCAAAGAAGGAGGTACCTTTCTCTGAAGGGAGGAGAGAACTTCCACTTTGACTAGGGCCTTGTCTAAATAAGATCGGAGTTGGTGAACTCAAGAGGCTTCCATAGCCTTGGCAGCTCATGACAAGAGCCTCAGGTGATTACTAACATCATAAATAAGAGTGTCAATTGTTAAATCAACAACAGGAGTCACAGTGCACCTACTCCCATGTAGGATCTCTGTCTTTAATGTGTTGTACTATGCGAATTAATGGTAAAACTACTACTAAATCAGTATTCTATGAAAAAAACTCTGTCATAAAGTTTTCTAAATAAATTAAGGCTTAGTTATGCAAAAAATGTATATTTGGTTATGATAGCAAAACTTTGAAGACAAAATCATTCAACAGCAGGATTGTGGTATTCAGACTTAACTTCTAATAAATAGCTGATATACTTAAATCTCTAATCAAAATTATATACTCAACATGATCATAATCATATATAAAATGAAATCTAGAATAGAAAAATTAATAAAGATCTGTGTCCTTTTTTGTAGGAATATGTGATATTTTAAAATTTCTAAACAGCTTTATATTTTCACTTAAATCATTTTATTGCCATATGTGTAACTATACCTTACAGTGGTATTTTCAAGTAGAGTAAGTAGAAAATGTACACAAAGGTAATATTAAAATCATGAAACTAGCATAGAAACAATATAATAAACTTTAAAGATAATTTAATTGTATTTTATAATAGTTATCCTTATTTTATTCCATCACACTCATTCTAAATCAAATATAAGCAGGCTATTCACTTATTCACAAAACAGTTTGCAAGGCATTTTCTCAAACATCACATTCACTGATCACAGACAAATGTTTACACAATTGATTGTGTGGTTTTCTGGGAAACAAGTAAGAATCACCAGGAACAGACACTTTAAAAAAAAAAAGATTTATTTATTATTATTTGAAAGGCAGAGTTACATAGAGTCAGAGGCAGAGGCAGAAAGAGAGAGGTGTTCCATCCACTGGTTTACTCCCCAAATAGCAGCAAAGGCCAGAGCTGGGCCAATCTGAAGCCAGGAGCCAGGAGATTCTCCCAGGTCTCCCATGCATGTGCAAGGGCCCAAGGACTTGGGCCATCTTCTACTGCTTTCCCAGGCCATAGCAGAGAGCTGGATTGGAAGTGGAGCAGCTGAGACTCAAACCAGCTCCCACATGGGATGCCGGCACTGTAGGCAACAGCTTTACCTGCTATGCCACAAAGCCAGTCCCAGGAATAGATATCTTAACAGCAGCGACATGTGAGCTCACAAAGTGAGAAAGGAGGAAGAACTCTCAATTGACTTATAAGTATCTGCTTATGCCTAAATTATAGGAGCATGTTAAAGATTTAGGAAAAATGTCCACTAAAAACGGTTAATATTAAGAAAAGTTTGTAACAAAATATTAAGTACAAATTGCCTAAATGTTCATCTCCAAGAAAAAAAAAAAAAACTTCACAAAAGCTAAGGAATAAGATTTAAGGCTATGCCTGATCACTAGCTTTTAGCTTTTAATTAATATGAAATCATCATTTTTAAAAAGGGCTGTTCTGCTTCAGAATTCAGCTTAGGAATTGGCTTCTAAAAAATGAAGTTTATCAGGGGAAGAAAGGAGATGAAGATATATATATAAACATATAAATATAAGTAGTTTTAATGAAAATAACTAGAGTCATTAAGTCCTTAGAATATACCAGAAACTCCTCAGATACATTATTTAGTTTCTGATAGACAATGAGGAACTCAATACAAGTTAATGTAAAATTATACTGAAGTTTGGAGGAAGATAAGATGAACTTCTTACTGGAATGATCAAAGGAGACAGCAAGGAAAAAGTGGCAGCACCTTTAGCCTTGAGAAATTCACCAAAATAATTATCAAACTACCAATAATTTTCAGCATTACATTTGGAAAATCTGACATCACCATCAGTATTTTTGTTGATTTAGAATCTTTATAGAGCATGCAAAAAAGTACTTATATGGTTGATTTATAGTTATTCAATAAAAGAGAAAGGGCTACATAGTTAGAATTGTGCATCTGATGTTATTTTACAGAGTGGCTACAGTATCTCCTAACCCCATGCTCTTCTTAAAAGGAGATTTTGAAAATCCTCCCATCAAGAGATAAAGCATAAGTACTGTCCCTTTCAAACTGGTGAGGTTTTATGATGTTTCAATCTAAAAGGCATGGAAGAAGTGATTTCTATGGCCGAACTAAAAAAGGCCAAGTAATTTCTGCTTTATCTACTATAATATCTGCATGAAGCCTTGAACCACATGAAGTAGTCCACCTATGCTCTATTAAACCATGAGGAAGCCCAAACTAACCCACTTAGAGGCACCATATGGGCAGATTCTAAGACTATGTAAGAAGGAAGAGAGGTTGAAAACATGGTCTACATGTTTCAGTCTCCAGAGTCCCATATTCAGCCATTGGCCCCCACAATCACAAAAAGATCCTGAATCAGAAACAACTGCATGAACCCTTCTTGAATTCCTGACACACAGAAATCTTGAGATAATAGAATGGTTTTCATTGCTTGGAGCCACTAAATTTTAGGGTGTTTTATTATGCACCAATAGGAACTTGAATATTAAAAAAATTATTGTTAGGTAAAATTATGCTAGACCATGCTTCTAAAATTGTAATGACTACATAAAATTTCTGAGTATTTTGTCAAAATGAAGTCCACAAGAGGTCTTCAAAAAGTTCATGGAAGATGCATATTATTAAAAATCTATTTGTAGAGTTCAAAATTTTAACATGAAAAACTTAGCTTTTAATTTCATTTTCCCATGAAGTCCCTCATATTTCATAGATCTGCAGAAGAATTTTGGATTCTGTATTTCCATTAAGCTGCCAGATGACACTTGTACTTCTGGTCCACAGTCCACACTTTACATAGCAGGGCCCTAAATAATGATTGGCATATGAATATTGTACCTTTATCTGGAGGCATTTGGTCTTATTTTCTTCTTGGCAACATGACTGAACAGCTGTTTCATAGCAAGCAGACATGGTCAGGATAGTAGGTCCATATAAGAATGGATATGTTCTAGAAATTTCAAAACTGTACCTGTAATTTGACAAACACAAAGTTGTACAATTTAGAATTCAAGAATATATGCTGGTACTATTTCTTAAAAACTTAAGATTTGTTGCTCCCCGTCTTCGTGGAGGAACGACACAGGACCCTGCGCTGTTCTTTTGTCTGCTCGGCCCTCCCCGGGTTTGCTGCTGGTTCTTCCCGGGTTGGCTACCGTCCCTTCCACCTCCGTGGAAGGGCGGTTCCCCCTGGCCACTTTCCCCACTTCCGCGGGGGAGCGGCACACCACCAGCCGGCTCTCTCGGGGGCTGCACAGGTGTTCCTTCAGATAGATGTTCCCGGTGCATGTTGTCTCTCTCCTCCTTTATAGTCCTCTTCCACCAATCCCAACTCTGCTACCCACACGCCGAGTACGCTGCTCTCCTCCAATCAGGAGCAGCTCCTGCAGCTTGTCAAGTTGGTGAGAGGCAGCTGGGTAGAAGCTGTTGCTCCTCTCCCAGCGCCATATTGTGGGAGAGCAGACGCATAGAATAAGTCTTAATTCCAGTAACAGTATAGTCCGAGTTGCTCCCCACAAGATTCGTTTAGTTTTGTTGACCTGAAACTTAGAATTTCATGGTGATTTAGATGAGGTGGTGCTCTACTTAAACGCACCAACCATGCACTGTGACAGATCACTATGTGATTCATCAGACATCCTCTGAGTGCCCATAGGATGGCCAAAGGTGCCTTCTAGGCTGGAAGAAAATGAAAATCAGCAATTTAAACCTTGCATATATTTATAGGAAGTGTGCGTTAGATAGCTCAACAGGCCAAGCTGAATTGTAAACTGAGAACTGTACACTGGAACAGAAGAAATAAATTTAAAAGTTGGTGAGTGGAGAGGAGTCTCAAGATCATCTACAAGTTCTTTCGAGACTAGGAAAGTTAATGTCACTGTCCTCCAAGATGTGTCATTCAATTGTTTGGTTTGTTACTAAATTCCCTGTCTTTATAGGCTTCTCTAAATGGCTCCTCGCATTCAGTATAGAGTTTGGGCACCAGGCTTGCTTCTCATCTGTCATCATATCTCTTCATAATTTGCAAAGCTTTCTTAAATCCTGCGCCCCTACACAGGCATATAGATCCAACAGCAGTTGACATGGCAGACAAAAACTATCTCTGTGCCCAGACAAATCTCTTGTCTCTTCCTACATAACAGGAAGACTCTTCCCACATCACAGGAAGACTCTTGCCAGCCTCCTTTGCCATTAGATTAAAAACAAGTAACAGAATCCTAACCAGTAAAACATGAAAGAACATGCCATATTCCACTTCTAGCTCTGGTTACTAATTTCTTCCCACAATTCCCTATTCTCTTTGTTTCATGGTGACTTTGGAAACTCAAGCTCCAGATGGTATGGCTCCAACATCTTGAATTCCTGAGTAATTTTTTGGAGGAGAATTGTTGCAAGTTGAGCTGAGCTGGAAAAAGATGAATTCCAGGTGTTAGAGCAGTCCATTAAGGCTGCAGAGTAATAATTAAGCCTTTCATCATTCCTTAGGATACTATAAGCAAAAGCTAAATGCAGGGAGTGTCAGCTCCCTTCTGTTCAATTTTCCCCGTGGACCAGGACCAGTAAGGACTGGGAGGATCATGACAGGCATAGGATCAACTCTTTCTGAAGGAACCCCAAAAGGCTCCTGTAGTCATAAGGACCCTGTATTTTCAATACTCTGTTTATCTTGCTTGTCCTAGTTGACTGCCTACTCCACTGTACCTTTCAGTATATTTGCTGCTGGTCTGCCTAATCCAATACTTAAGGAGAAGCCTCCTTTACAAGTCCTAGTCACTTTTAATCTGTTTCAATGCACAGGCATGTCCCCACTTTGTTGGTTCAATTAAATGTAATTGTCATTCTTAAGGAGAAAAAAATTATAGCTCAACTTTTCACTTTAATTCCATGTAATGAAGCATTGTGTTCTCCAAGGCTTTTATAGGGGAAAAAAAGTCTGGCTTCAAAATAAGAAAACACTCATTTTAGAAGACAATGGCACAAAGAAATGGCTTACCTGTCCTTCACTGACACATGATTCTCTTTGTCCATCTCACAGATATGTTCTGCATTTGGAATTTGGAATATATCACTGTAATCAGCATCATCTTTTTTATAGGACAGGAAGCACTTGTGCCTTGCTGTGTTACTTGTATTGCAACAGTGGGAAGACCCATGTTTGTCAAGCATTCCTGGGTTGTTACATATATACTCTAGGAAAGTAGTCATCTGTAGGAAGCAAGGATAAGTTAAAGGGAAAGTGTTCTGATGAAACATGTCCTAATACAAAAAGTAAGGAATTATTGTAAAGAAAGACAATTGATTACATAATGTTAAGCTTTTAATTCAGCAGTCCCTTAACACAGCTCATTTGAGTAAGTCTTAGGTTTTTAAGTCTAAATTTCCACATTCTAGAAATTTACCTAGTCAAATTTATTATTCTCTCCTTTCCTATGCAATTGTTTCATTTTTGTGCCATGGAGAGCTACTGAAACAAATAAGCATAAGCCATAGAGTCCTGGGAAAGATATTTTTAATGAGAACTACCCACCGAGAAATAGATGGTGATTTGCTCTTCTTGCTTCCTAGTTGTTTTCAGTTTGGTTTCCATAGGAAATTATTTTAAGAATTGAACTCTGAGACAATGTGTACCCATTGTCAAATTTTCAAGTGGAAATGTAATAATTTAATTAGTTTTCAAATACCTTTCAGTGGCAGTAAATGTGTGGAATGACTCTCAAGTGACATTTGTTTTCAGATTTGGGGGATAAGGCCAAATAAAGGTCATCTTTTGAAATGGAAATGAGTGGGAATCATAAAATAAGTGAGACAGGCAGAAATACTTTCCTTAAAATATGAGTCTAATAAGACTCCAAAAATAAAGTTTTAAAAATATATAAGTAAAAATGATTCACATGCATTAAAATTATTAAGCATAAGAATAATAAATCCAAGAATATGCACCTAATAAGAATATGTTAGTGTTTAGCAAGAATTTTTGTGGAATTTGCTAATCACAAGACATAATATTTTATAAAGAAATAATAAATAATTCCCAAGATTTTCTACAAACTGGAAAAGGATCCCATAATAATATTCATTTATTTCTCCTTTACATATTAGCTAAAAAACTTTTTGAAATTACTACTTCAATTTCCCAGGAACCTTTCTATGAGGATGCCATTAGACAAGGTATTCCAAAGACAGAGACAGAGCAATTGATACCAATTAGCCAAGTAGCATTTGGGCTATACTTCGTTCTCTTCAGAGTATGTTTCTCTGAGCCTGGTTTCCCAGAGATGGACAGATCAAATGTAGATTTATAAACCTACAGAGATTAAATCTTGGGTGTGACTCATCTACATATCCATTTCTTACAAACCTTTGACTAATTGTTCAACCAGCCCCCTTCATAACCTCTTTTGGCTGCAATCTTGTTTAAAAGAGAGAAAAAGGCAGAATATGATTCACCTACCAGTTGATGAGCACATGGGGACAGTGACTCATGTGACTCCATGCTCTTGCACTTCTCTGAAAGACCCAGTAACTCTCTAGCTATGGTCTTTACTTCTTCATATGTTGCTGTCTGAAGAAACTGAGCGACCATAATGCTGGTGCTGAAACGCAAGATCCATGAGTGTTGAAAGTAGCATTCAACCCCTTTCCTCCATCACTCATCATTGTACCATTGCTGCATTCTCCCCAGACATAATTAATGTGTTTTCAAAAATAAAAGAATTTCCGTAGAACTCACATGTCTCTTAAGTTCTCCTGAAGATAATTCTGGGTAGCATTATGCTGTATGGCTGAAAAACAATGAAATTTTATTGGCTGCTGTAATCTGACAGCTTGTATCCCTAACCCCAAAGCTGATGAGCTTAGATCTGAATGCTTGAAATCCTAACTCCTGAGGTGATGGTATTAGGAGTCTTCACTTCTTGGCCTCTTGGCTAAAATCAAATGATAATAGGAGTGAGAGCTTCTAAAAGAACGTGAGGGTAGAGTCCTCATGAGTGAAATTAGTGCCCTTTTAAAAGAGACCCAAGGAAACTTATGCATCCCTGAATTGCATGTGGAATAGCATGAAAACATTGTCTAAGGATCAGAGAGTAGGTTCATACCAGATACCAACAGTAAGGCCTCTCACCAGACCCTGAATCCACTAACACTTTGATCTTGGGCTTCTCGGTTTCCAAAATTGTGATGAATAAATCTCTATTATTTATAAGATAGCCAGTTTAGGGATATCTTGTCATAACAGCCCACATATCTGCATCAGAGGAAATTTTCCAATTCGAAATTCCTCTTCACAATTCTGTAACCTATGTTCATTCACTCATAAATTTCTAGATATATTTTTATTAACCACAGTAAATTGGAACAATTTACCAGGCTATACCTTCACTTATATTTTCAAGTATTTTATTTTATTTACTTGAAAGACCAAGAGAAAGAGACACATGGACAGATGGAGGAAGATCTTCATCTTCTAGTTTACTCTCAAAATGCCTGCAACAGCCTGGACTGGGAAGTCCAAAGTCAGGAGCTGAGAGCCAGGAATTCAATCCCCGTGTTCCACACAGATGGCAAGGATGCAAGTGCTTGAGTCATCACCTGCTGCCTGCCAGCATGCCCATTAGCAGAAGCAGATCCAGGACGGAAACCTGGAACTCCAATAAGGGATACAGGCCTCCCAGGGAGCATCATAACTGCTATTTCAAAAATCCACCCCTTTCCTTGGTATCTAAACTGCATTTTGTGAACAACTTATTTATGCTTAAATAGATTGTGTAGTTGAAATCTATTGTTGGTCTACAAATAAACCACACACATATGTATTGACATTTCCGAATTAAACAATGTTTTGATTACTCGACTCTTGACATGAGAAGTTATTAATGCACCCAAAATTAAAACTTAGCATGGGGAACAAAAACATAGATGTTAACTCCTTGCCACGCTTAATTTGGCAAACACAGAATCTCAGATACTGTGGATTCATTAGTTACCTCCATCTTCTTCCTCACCCCCACTCACCACATACACATACTCATGTTCTCTATTGAAAGCAATGCTTTCCTTGTTTACACTCTTCTCCACTAAATAAAGAAACCATAATTATTCACTATATTAAAGTAAGTATAGGTTTAGAGACAATTATTTTGGTTTCACCTTCTACCTAAGGTATTTAATGAAACCTTGGGGAAATAGCTTCTGCTCGCAGAGTCACTTTGTCTCCATTTAAATAAGGTCTACTACATTGGGTGGTTGTTAGAATTACACAAAAGCATCTCTGTGAAGCCCTGAGCCTAGTGCCAGGCACATAATGCTTGTCAGTCATGAAAAATGTAGCTCATAATACCATTGATGCCATTATTCTCACTGTTTCTCTAAAATTGCTCTCTCAATTTCAAGTAGAGTTTGAAATGTAACATTCTCTCACCTACCGAGAGAATTAAGCTAAAGTGAGTTATTCCTGCATGTGTCACCCTCACATATTAGATCGCTTTCTGTATTCATTCCACACATTAATATCTAGCAATTTCCAGTGACTCTATTGACAATGACAGCACTGAGAAGGAGAAGCCTTTCCATACACATTTTAGTAGTCATCATGTCTCAGCTACCTCGTCCTTAAACAGAAAATGTACAAGCATTGATTGTAAGTATCATTTCCTACCTGCATCTAGTAACCTTCTCTGAAGAGTCTGACATTTAATGCAGCTGATGAAAACAAGAAAATATATAGGCTTGACAGTCTTCATTATTTCAGATGAAGCTTTATGGGAAAGAGCCCTATCATCTGACAAAAATCCAGAATTTCTTTATATTCTTTTCAAGTAATCACTATTAACAATTAACCTTTTCTGGTGAATATTTTTACCAGGCTACTCTGATCCCTAAAAAACTGAGGAAACTGATGACAATGAAGAAATATTATTGATGGATTACATTCATTAAGAAATGCTGGATTTTTAAACAAGTCATGTCAATCTACTTGCTCTCAAGATTACAACATGCAGGCCTTGTAATAACTAATCAATAAACCCTTTTGAAAAATACTGGTCTGCAATATCTCATTCCTGGAAATGCTTGTTGACATGTACAAAGTTCTAAAGTGGCAGGAGGGGAAGTTCAGATCAAATAAATGATCTAGGCACAGGTTCCAATGTTGGACATACTTCTGTGTTCCTGAAGAGAGTGGGAGCTAAGCGCACAAGTATTGGGAGCAAGCCCAGGAGATTGGGACCCAATTTATTGAGTGCTTACTACTGTCCTTGTATTTATAAAGACTTTACTGTAGGTAACAATACACATACTATCACTCTTTGAGGGAGAAATTCAGATTTAGGCCCATTGAAATTGCTCATGGACTCACATACAAAAATTCAAGTCTGTCTGGTTTCCAAGTTCCACACCACCCAAGTGAAAACAGCTAAGTATGGGGCTGGCATTGTGCTACAGCAGGTCAAGCCATTGCCTACAGAAAGTGTATCCCATATAAGCAGTGGTTGAGTGCTGGCTGCTCCATTTATTATCCAGCTCCCTGCTGTTGTGCATGGGAGTACTTGAGTCCCTGACACCCCTGTGGAAGATTCAGATGGAGTTCTGGGCTTCTGGCTTCAGCCTGGCCCAGCCTTGGCCATTGTGGCTATTAGGAGAGTGAATTGGCAGATGGAATGTCTCTCTCTCTCTCTATTTCTTTCCCTCTCTCTGTAACTTTCTCTGCCTTTCAAATGACTAAATAATTTTTTAAAATAAAATAAAATAAAAATTGAATTCTGAAAATTAGTCAGCTATCCCTCCCCACTCACGCTTTGTCAGTCATCTAGCTCTTGGATCTAGGTCAGGAAGAAAGTAATTACTGATTAAGCAAAACGTTTAAGATACATGTAAAAGCAAAATGTTGGAAATGAGAGATTACTGGTTATTATTTTAGCTATTCCTATTCTCAGTTTCTTCATTTATAAAGGAAAAATCTGGATCAGATGATATTTAGATCCTATTACTTCAATCTGCTACCCATATATTCTCATTTCTGACTTCCTAAGCAAATATATATATATATATATATGACATATATCATAAGTAAGAGAGGCATATTTGATGAAAAACAACCAAAAATCCTGTTATGATATGTATTTGGGACACATCAGCTTATGGAAGAGAATATGAGTGGTTCTGTGTGACAGAAAACTGAGGTCAGCAAGGGAAATCTTTGGCCACCTTCCATTACCCTGTGTGGAGTCGTAATACTCCATTCTTCTGTGGTGTATGCTAGTGCTGCAATTTTGAAACTTTATCCTAAACTTCCTGGAACTATCAGAAATGAACTATTAAACTAGCCTAGTCCAATCCTTTGGCAAACTTTGGATGAATGCTATCAGACTACCTGATATCTGCTAGTGCAGACATTACTGATGGATCACTGTGTTTCTCTCTGAGCCTAGACACAGCCTTCTCATAGCACAATGCTACAGGACAGCCACTATCAATGGATAGGAGTTGACACTGAAGAAAAATACTGCTAAGTGTATGCTAAACTAATTCCTCCTTTAAAAAAAAAACTCAAAATTAACTTTCTGTGGGAACTCTGCTCTCAGAATCAAGTGCAAATAGTAGTGGATTCTTGAAAATAAAAAAGATGGGAAGCGGCAAGAAGGCAGAATAGGAAGGGAGCACACTGATAGTCCGGGAAGAGACAGTTTAATAAAAGTGGAGATACTGCAGGTTCAAGGAAGAGTTGGGGAAGAAACAGCAGAGGAAACTCTTCCGGAACTAGTGATTCATGGTGGACCTGCATGGAGGGCGTGGGAGCCCACAGCTTGGGACACCAGCGGCAGAAACAACGCACCAGCGCTGGAACGCGAGGTGAGCCAAACCTCAGTAGCCAGAGACACCAGCGGAAAAGCAGAAGGAGGAGCCTAGAGGGAACGAGGTTTGAAGCCCCATGGGGGAAAGTTCACCAGGCTAACTAGAGGAGACAGGAAAAAAAAAAAAAGGACCAGTATGGACAGTATGGACCTCTCAAAGGTGAGCAAGACAAAGAGCAGGCGCCATTTTGGACATATGTAAAAGCTGCACAACCTCAGGTCTGGGCCCACCCTCAGCCAAGCAAAAAAACCTGACTCTGGGAGGGGGTGAAATTACAGGAGATTAGGACCTAGTGAATGTGTGGAGCTAATGAACTGAGACTGATAAAAAAGAGACAGTGGGTGAGAGAACTCGCCAAGTTCACGTGAGTACTCTCCAGAGATGCTACAATTCAGTAACCTTGGCAACCCAGTGGGAGACTGCAGGAGAATTTGAACCCACACTGAGGGCAGAACAGATTCCCTGTGTGGTCCTTGGGAAAGAGCAGGTGAATGTTATACCCACAGGAGCCAGAGATCGGAAACTGACTACCTTCAATTCTGCTCAGCTGTGTGGAATTATTCCACTTCTGAATCAAAAAAGAAAAAGAAAGAAAGAAAGAAGGAAAGAAAGATAGATAGATTTTACCACTAGTAACCTGGGAATGTCATCTTTGCCACACCCTTAACCCTGAAGAACCAAACAGAGCTCTCTGGCCACATCCATCTCAAGCCTCTAATGCTCCATCAAAAGCAGACAGTCCACTTAATCTAGAGTCATAGTATAACAGGGAAAAACACCACAGTGAGGGAAGAAGAATCCAAAGAATATCTCCACAACGCCAAGCAACAAACACAGAAAATGAGGAAACAAGAATAAGGAAGACATTATGACAACCCCAAATGAACAAGATACGCCAAACCAATATTATGAAGAGGATGAGATGGAAGAAATGCAAGATATGGATTTCAAAAAATCTATGATAAGAACATTTAGAAGTTCTCAAAAACAAATGCTTGAGCTACAGAAATCCTTACTGGACAGGATAGAAAATCTCTCTCATGAAAATGAAATATTAAGGAGGAATCAAAATGAAATGAAACAACCAGTAGAACAGGAAAGTGTGATAGTGACTGAAGTGAAGAATTTAATAGATCAAATGACAAACACATTAGAGAGCCTTAAAAACAGAATGGGTGAAGCAGAAGAGAGAATATCGGACTTAGAAGACAGAGAACAGGAAAGGATACAGTCAGACCAAAGAAAAGAAGAGGAAATTGGAAATCTAAAACATATTGTCGGGAATCTTCAGGATACTATTAAAAAACCCAACATTCGGGTTCTAGGAGTTCCTGAAGGCATGGAGAGGGAGAAAGGATTAGAAGGCCTTTTTAGTGAGATATTAGCAGAAAATTTCCCAGGTTTGGAGAAGGACAGAGAAATCCTAGTACAGGAAGCTCACAGAACCCCTAATAAACACGACCAAAAGAGATCCTCACCACGACACGTTGTAATTAAACTCTCCACAGTGAAACACAAAGAAAAGATCCTAAAATGTGCAAGAGAGAACGTCAGATTACTCTCAGAGGATCTCCAATCAGACTCACAGCAGACTTCTCATGAGAAACCCTACAAGCTAGAAGGGAATGGCGAGACATAGCCCAGGTACTAAGAAAGAAAAACTGCTAGCCCAGAATATTATATCCTGCAAAGCTATCATTTGTGAATGAAGGTGAAATAAAGACTTTTCATAGCAAACAGAAACTGAAAGAATTTGTCGCCACTCATCCAGCCCTGCAAAAGATGCTTAAAGATGTGTTGCACATAGAAACACAGAAACACGGTCATCAATATGAAAGAAGGTATAGGAAGGAAACCTCACAGCAAAAGATCACAGGAAGTTCAAAGCATATATTAGAAAATATCTTTGGCAAATGGCAGGACAAAGCTACCACTTATCAATAGTCACATTGAACTTTAATGGCCTGAACTGTCCAGTTAAAAGACACAGATTGGCTGATTGGGTTAAGGAACAAAACCCATCTATTTGCTGCTTACAAGAAACTCATCTTTCCAACAAAGATGCATACAGACTGAAAGTGAAAGGCTGGAAAAAGATATTCCATGCCAACAGAAATGAAAAAAGAGCAGGCGTAGCAATCTTAATATCAGACAACATAAACTTTACCACAAAAACTGTTAAGAGAGACGAAGAGGGACACTATATAATGATTAAGGGATCAATTCAACAGGAAGATATAACGATTTTCAATGTATATGCACCTAACTACAGGGCACTGGTTTATTTAAAAGATTTGTTAAGGGACTTAAAGGGAGACTTAGACCCCAATACAATAGTACTGGGGGACTTCAATACTCCACTCTCAGAAATAGACAGATCAACAGGACAGAAGATCAACACGGAGACTGTAGATTTAAATGACACTATAGCCCAAATGGATCTAACAGATATCTACAGAACTTTCAATCCTACATTTAAAGATTTTACATTCTTCTCAGCAGTACATGGAACCTTCTCTAGGATTGATCACATACTAGGCCATAAAGCAAGTTTCAGCAAATTCAAAAGAATTAGAATCATACCATGCAGCTTCTCAGACCATAAAGGAATGAAGTTGGAAATTAGCAACTCAAGAATCCCTACAGCATACGTAAACACATGGAGATTGAACAACATGTTCCTGAATGAACAATGGGTCATAGAAGAAATTAAAACAGAAATAAAAATTTTCTGGAAGTAAATGAGGATAACAGCACAACATACCAAAACTTACGGGACGCAGCAAAAGCAGTGTTAAGAGGAAATTTTATATCAACAGGTGCTTACATCAAGAAATTGGAAAGGCACCAAATAGATGAGCTTTCAATTCACCTCAAGGATCTAGAAAACCTACAGCAAACCAGACCCAAATCTAGTAGGAGAAGAGAAATAATTAAAATCAGAGAAGAAATCAACAGAATTGAATCCAAAAAAAAAATTACAAAAAATCAGCCAAA